AAAATTGAGAGGGTTGTTCTACTCTCGACTATAAAATCGGTGTGAAAATGATTTTAACACACAGTCAAAGTTAAAAATCAGACAACAAACAACAAACAACAACATCTATAAACAGCCTGGAAAAAACAGTTGATTAACTGCTAAAAAACAGGTAAGAACAGCTATTAACAACAATTAACTGCTAAAAAACAGGTAAGAACAGCTATTAACTGCATATTAACAACAATTAAACAACTATTAAACTAGATAATAACAACAATCTGTTTCCATTTATTTTCCATCAATTAGAAAAAAACAAGAATCATCTGCAATATGACCAACCCGGAAATGGTAATGAAAGTTATTAAGGACTTCAATGGAAAGATGGCCAAACCTCTACTCACCAAGAACAAGATGAAAACAAATTGCTTTTACCCGATTATGAATGCTCAACGTAAAAAAAACAGCTATGGAACTTCCCTTGCTCTTGAACTTGGGGAGTATATTTTATACTTACCGGAGCGCTACTCAACCTTAGATGATGCAACAATCAACATTATAAAGGATAACCGTTTTTATATTTTGAAAAAGGATGATAATAATTTGTACTTGGAATTAAATAAAGTTGTGAAATCATGAAAATTTATACATTTTTAATACTTTTAAGCTATATATTTGCTAATAATAAAAATAAAATTTCTTCAAAAAACACAAATAAATTTGTTATAAATATTTAATTACATTTACATTTCTCACAGTATCAAGTGAGTGTCTGAGAAAACTAGAGCAATGAAACGTCAAGTCTTAAAACAGTTGACAGAGAGTAGAAATATTTTAAAAAGAAAGTTCAATGAATTAAAACAAATGAAAAATGAGAATGCTTCAAATTTAGAAGAAACTTTTAAGCCAATTACAGCGCCTTTACATGCAATTCTTGCTGATAATAAGAAATTTAAAAATTCCAATGATGGTAATGTACCTGAAGAAAAATCATTGGTAAAGAAGGAGGAGGTACATCATGTCGCGAGAAAACAGTATGTGAGCGAAAAAGAAAGCGAAGATGAATTTTTTTCACAAGATTCTGAAAGATATTCTGATTCTGATTCTGATTCTGATTCAAATGAAGAAGAAGAAGAAGATGAAGAAAAAGAAGAAGAAGAAGATCAAGAAAATGTGAATAAAGAAAAAGGGGTGGAGTACGATCTCAACATTAGTCATTTAAAGAAACAAAAGCATCTAGATAATAGTTATGGACCTCGAAAAGAAAATAATATATTGATGTTAGGTAATAGTGCACTTAAAATTCAAAAAAATAAAATGGAATTGGAGAGTGGAAACTCATGGACCTTAACACAGGGTCTATACTCACTAATTTTTCATAACGCACCTCATGACTATACTAAAGATGATTTAAAAATATATAAACAAATTTTAATTGAGACAAGTGCTCACAAAAGAAACTATGAACCCGACGGACAATTAAAAGGAAATCCCTCGAAGAAATATTCATCAATTATTAGACCTCTTATGACATCAGCTGTCTCACCCACTCGAAAATATACTGGGTCAGCATATATGAAGCTTCAACGAACGAAACCTAGATATATTTATTGGAACAACGTAAACGAGCTTGTAGAGAGGTTACAGCTTTTAATGAGTTCAAAAGCTGCTGGACATAATGGACATTCTAATGAGATTTTATCGATAATAGAAGAACTGCGAGAAGAAAAAATAATATATTAATAAAATAGAAGACACTTTATAATTTTTAATTAATATTAAAATGTCAATTGACAAGTTTGGTCATTTTTCGAATGATAGAGAATTTTCCTCACTTTTCAAAAGGGAGCTTGAAAGTCTCACGGGTGTTTATCTTGATACTGATGGCCATATAAATGTACAGAGAAAAAGAATAAAAAACTCTTCACAACCAATAAATGGTAATGACTTAGTCATTAAACTATATGTAGACAAGAAAATTGACGATGTTAAATTACTACAAATGGAATCGATTGACAAATCATTTGAGAATCGAAATAAAAGAGTATCAGAGTTGGAGAGTAAAGCAATAAAAATGATTACACAATTAGAACATATAGATATCTTGATGAACAACATAATTAATCAAATTGAAAATATTAATAGTTTTATAAACTCAAAAAACCCACCACCACCAAATCTTCGTACGCAACAGGTGGAAATAGAAGGAACTTTGCTTAAAAAAAGCCCATTCGCACACCGTGAAAGAGATCCGAAAACTGATTTAGTTGAAAGTTAAATATACCATTCCTTCAGCTTTTATATTTATAATAATAATGACACTCGACAAGTTTGGATGTTTTTTAATTGAGAGAGAGTACTCAAGGGAGATTAAAAAGGGGGTAATCAAATTTCAAAGCTTACTCACTGACTCTGATGGTAATTTAAATCTTCAGAGAAAAAGATTTAAAAATTGTTTACCTCCCATCCATGAAAATGATGTAGTAACAAAGAATTATGTTGATGATGAAACAAGAAAAGTATTAACAAATATATCTACTGTAATTTCCAATCAACCACAGAAACAGTCAATTTTTAAAGTAAAACCCCGATTAAATCATGTTGAGAGCAAAGTGAATGAAATTTCTTCAAAAATTGATTATCTAAAGAAAAATCTTCGTGAGATAATAATGCAAATTGATGAAATAGAAAATAGTATTTTCAGTTATATAATTCACCCGCAATCAATATTAAAAAGTGAAACAATATCTAAGGAGCGAACACCATTCATCCCGAATAAAATTAAAATATGAGTAAGCGAGATATTGTGAATGAATTACATCGCCCCACATTAAAAAACTTCCCACGACGTCGAGTGATAGTAAAAGGAATTAATGATTTATGGCAAGCTGATTTAGTTGAGATGAGGCCTTATGCCACTGTCAATAAAGGCTATAAATATTTATTAAGTGGTGATAGACTGTTTCTCGAAGTTCGGGTTTGGGGAGGCGGTGAAATCAAAAAATGCAACAGATGTCACCAAAGCTATGTTAAACATTTTAAAGTCTGGTCGAGGGGCACCCAAGAATTTACAAACAGATAATGGAAATGAGTTCTATAATAAACAATTTCAAGAATTAATGACGCGATTTAAAATTCATCATTACTCAACTTTTAGTGTTCTTAAAGCATCGATCGTGGAACGTTTTAATAGAACATTAAAAGAACTTATGTGGCGTGAGTTTAGTTTCAATGGAAAATATACATGGATTCAAATGTATAAAAACTTAATTGATATTTACAACAACAGGAAGCATAGAACAATAAAAATGAAACCAATTGACGTCAATGCGTCTAATGAGAAACAACTTTTATTAACGGTCTACAATCACCGAAAAGTATTTTTAAATAAGAAAAATTTACGGGAAGGGGAATTTGTACGCATAAGTAAATATAAACATGTATTCACAAAGGGGTACATAGCGGGTTGGACCACAGAAATTTTTCGAATACGACATGTTAACAACACATTCCCCACCACTTATTTACTTGAAGATCTGAAGGGGACCCCTATAGAAGGCGGTTTCTATGCCCAAGAAATAAAAAAGACTTTGTTCCCCCACACTTATCTCGTCGAGAAGATTTTGAAGCGGAAGGGGGATCGTGTGCTTGTGCGCTGGCTAGGCTTTCCAAAGACAGAAGATAGCTGGGTCCATAAAAACGAAATTCTATAATTAATGCGTGACGGATAGTGCGTGGAGGGCGATGTGCGTTGAGGGCGATGTGCGTGGAGGGCGATGTGGAATATACTCTGTGTATATGCGTGTGTGGTATGCGGCTGATAGTGCGTGGTGAGCAGTGCCTTCTATATACAAACCGAAGAAAAATCTTGATAATTGTTTGTATGTGCATGTGAATGTCTATGTTTTGTTTAATTTCTCTGCTCGTTCTCAATGTAAAAAGGGCGAATGAATTTTCGGTCCAGATCAGTTCCCAACTATTCTTACATTGGAAAACATCACGATGTCTTTCAACGCGGTCGTGATCTTCGTTTTCGCGACTATTTGGTGTGGCGTGAAGACTGCTCCGGTTAAATATGTACTAGCTAATTTAACAAACTCAACTTCATGGAATTCATCAAATGAAGTTGAGTTTTTAATGAATTTACCGAACTCGAACAAATTAATGAGGATAGAATTTAATTTTGAAATTTTGGAAGATACCGAAATTTACAAAAACATATCCTCAACTATTATTAATGATAAAAATGAGAAATTAATTGAAAGTGAAAGTGAAAGTGAAAGTGAGAGTGAGAATATGGTGCCTTCACTGCTGCGAATTTCGTCAACCCCGCCTTCATCACCCTCACGAATTTTCATCGAGGACGGAGGAGCAATATCAACTTCAACGCTGGAAACAACCCTCATTAATGGGGGTAATGATGATGATGATGATGATGATGATGTAGCAACAACAACAACGACAAATAAACCTGCACCCTCACCAATTTTGAATGAGGATAGAGAAGTTGATACAACCCTCATTAGTGAGGGTGATGGAACAACAACAACAACAACAACAACAACAACAACAAATAAACCTGCACCCTCACCAATTTTCAATGATGATGACAATGATGATGGAACAACAACAACAACAACAAATAAACCTGCACCCTCACCAATTTTATTCGAGAATGGAGAAGAACAATCGATGAGGACGTTGGAACCAATTTTACCTTCTACTACCGGAAACGAATCAAATACAACTCTTGTGATGACCAGGGAAAGGCTATTACTCAATAGTTCAACATTTGAAGCAGAAACATCAACTTCAGCTGTTACTTCAACTTCTACGACTACAGCGAATACTATGGCGGATGATAGTTCTTCATTTAAGATCTTGTTGGGGATACCCGATAATGATGAGGATAATGTAAGTCGCATACCAGTGAAGAGAAACACGACGCGTAGATTAAAAAATAGTTCAACTATGAATAGCACAGGTATAGCCATAACCAAAAAAAATTAATAGAAAACTTTAAGCAAAAATTAATAGCCCAGGAGAAAAAAATAGGTGGTCATTTCGATTTAGGTCACAGAGGGGCTAATAGATATTTTATTATTTCATATTCAAATGGCAAGGTGGGTATTAAATGTCACTATAGATCTAGATTAGCTCACGCCTCAAATACTGATAATAAAAAAATAAATCATATTCCTCCATCAACACTTAGAATAAATTGTTTTGAATTTGCTGAGGCGTTAACACAAGAGGCTCTTGTTAATGAGAGAAAGAAAGACAAGAAAATTAGGACACAGATTTCGAGCGAGGCAGATCATCAAATTGCAACAGAAAACAGGTATCAGGATATTAACGATGGTTATTTAAGTGATGAACCACAAGTGCGGGAAATTAGAAATGATGAGGCAGAGCAAATAAATGCAATATATTTAAAAAAGAGGAATATAGCAGATAGACTGTTAGATGATTATTTAAATAGAAAAGAAACCCAGATTTCGAACGATGAGATAAAGGTTAAAAACATTGATGAGTTCCAATCAATACTTAATGATGAAATTTCATAGGTAAAAAGTTATTTCTCTTCCAGAATATAAAATTTAGTGAAGGTTATGACTGGGAGAAAAACAAGATTCAAAATGATACAACTAATAAAAAAGGTGAGTAAACTAAATTTATGTTTATTTTCAATTTTGAAATATTATACTAATTTTTTTTTTTTCTTTTATTTTCTTCTCTTTTCTTCTCTTTTTATTTTTCTATAGATAGGGGAAATGATATGAATGAAAAAGGTGAGTGAACTAAATTTGTATTTATATATTTTTTTTTTTTTTTTTTATATAGTTGAATATTTCCTAATTATTTTTTTATTTATTTAATTTTGTTTACAGATAAGGCTTTGGAAAATAATCTAATCAGTGAAGAAGGGATTTTTTATGTAGACGCAGATGAAGAAGAAGAAGCAGGACGGCTATATGAAAATGAACTTATTTATATGGAAGGCGGGGTTGAAAATTATAAACAAATCTTACCTTTAAATATAGACCAAGAAGATGAAAACCCCCTCCCCCCTCCATTTGTTGATGATACAAACCAAAACGAAAATGATGTAATTTTAATGGAGGGAGGATTAACTAATTACACCCAAATTGTGGAATCTAATATATTAGATCCAAAAGAAGAATTTCCCACCAATAATGAAATGAATCAAATTATTTAAAAAATTTTTTTGAAATTTATATTGTTTCTTTATTTAAAAATAAATATTTTTTTTTTTTCTAAAATTGTTATTATTACTAACTTTTTAAATTGATTAAGAAAATATACAATTGTTCTTAAAAATATATAATGAATATAAATAAAACTAATCATTTTTATTGTTCAAAAAAATTAATATTGTTAAAAAAAAATACATATTTGTTCTTAGAATTAAGTTTTTACATGTTTCACAAAGTTTTCTTAAATAAAATTGTACTTGTTTATAATAATATATTATCTAAATACTTTTTATTTAAAATCATTAGATTTTCTTATTATAAATAGGTCTTGTTCTAATTCCTTGACTTCCAATTTAAATTGGTCTTCCTCTCTTTTTGTAAATATTCTTCTAATTTTTTTTTGTTCTAAATTACTCCTATTTGTACAATTTTCAATTTTTTTTATTTTCTCATTCCATTCGAAAATACTTACATCTAATTCTGCTATTTTACATTCTAAATCTTTTTCTTCTATTTTATAATGCCCATATGCCATAGTGCCCATTTTATTAGAATCTATAATTCTTTTATCATCTTTACTATTAAGTATAATTTTATTACACCTAATAGTAGATACTATATGATTTGATGATCGAATCATTGCCATTGACCCTATCACAGACTCCTCAGAAAGCAAACACTTTTTATAATCATGAAAGTCTATTTTCTCTATCGCGCTTCGTTTGACACCTTTTGATTTTTTTATTGTTTTTTCAGCGCTACCATCACCATCACTAAATTTATATGAATACATTTTCGAGCGTAAACCAACAAACTCGAGCATGGGTTTCCCATTGAGTTCATCTTTGAAAAACCCTAACTTTTTTTTATTGGTTTTAGGAAAATTATACGTTTCTGCAATTTTATCTGGAAATTCAGATGTATCAAAATATGACTCTATATCATTTCTAATATCATTATAGAAGTCATCAGTTTTGATGGTATATATAAATGAATCTGTATCCATATAATTCAATTGTATGTTTTCATTAAATTTTGGTTTCATATAATTATAATGAAAATCATACATCTTCCATTTTGAAATTTCTAAAATTGAAAAACCTAAATATAATGGTTTATTATATAAAACATTTAATTTGTTCATTTGAAATGCATAAAAATGATCCGAAAATTTTTTCAGACTATGGAAGTTAGATTTAGAAATCAGTGAACGGGCGCAATCTCTTTTACGACCAGGAGAATCATTTGGAGTTGCACTTTCCCATTCTGAAATTAATTTAATATTAACGCGTTTATCAACGTT